AATAGGACTTCCTAGAAGATCCTTTCTGGTCCTATGTTCTTAAACTTGTACACATTGTGCAAAAGTTTGGAGGTTTATAAAATATATTGTAGAACTTCTGCCCCTCCACTTACAGTCCTAATCTCAAGCCTTTCCTTTGGCTCTTGGTACATTGAGATATATTATTAAGGAAATACTATATAAGGTAAACACATAAATTCAGCTGATGCTTACATCACTTTCTCTGCCACTTTGTATTTCTTTTGTTTAGAAGAAGAATTTCTTCTAAATTGCATTTTTTTCTTCCCACATTTAAGATTCTGTATATTAACGCTGATAGATTATGATTTTCCAACAACTCTGATTTTTCCAAGTCACTTTGCATTGTAGTCTTTTTCTGCTGTTTTCTTGCTGGTGCTCTAATTTTAGTGACATGTCCAGATGGGAACACATCTGAGTTTTTAAGCCAAAGAAACAACCATAAAAGAAAGCCATGAAACAGATCAGCAAGGTTCAGAGGTGTAGAAAGGGATTGCGTTTCCTCTCTTGCTGGTCAGAAAAACCTCTGGCAACTTAGATATGATTGGGCAGCAATTGGCAGGAAGCAGACAGCCTTGATAGATGCTTGTCCGTTGTGACAGAAATAGTTCTGCACACCTCCTGGGAGCACTCCATAGATCACAGGTGGCCTACACATCACAGCTTGAGAATCACTTGTATAAGCAACCGTTTATTAAATGTGTGTGTGTCAGCTGAATGCAGATCAACCAAAAAGAAAAGCTGGAGAGCTGGAAAGCCTAGTCCAGCTAAACTGATGCCTTGCAGCATCTGGCTTCCGTGGTTGCTCAAACTTTGCAGAGCCTGGAAAGTTTGGTCAGTAGACCACTCTGTATTATGTTAAACATTTTGAGAAGGGAAATATATTTCTTCTAAATTAACTACAATCGTATAATCTAATCTGTAGCATTTATAGTTAATGGAGCATCTAGAATGAAATGTAGCCATTTGTATTGTTTGTAGCAGGCTCAACTTGGCTGTTTCTAGGCTTAATTTGAAAATGTATATTACCAATTATTTGCTTTGGTTGTTAGATGGCATTTTTGTGGATGATGTATTTTTGTGTTAGTTTGTGGTCATGTTTGTACATAAATATTAATGCGACACAATAAACTCCGGCCCAGTTCGTACCAGAGTTTATTGCTCCTAGGTGCAGCGTTTACAAGTGTGCCCATGCCCGCAGCACATTGAGCTGGGATGGTGCAGCTGGCAGGGAGCCCAGGGGGCCAGCCTACCACCCCAGAGCTGCTCTGCCCCAGTTTAGTGTGCTGCAGAGGGACTGGCTGGGGCACAAGGGTGTTACAGGCATCCCTTGCACTGTAGCATCCTTGTGCCCTAGCCAGCCCTGGTCACTGTCTACATGTGCATTGTGGCAGAGTACATAACTCGCTGTGGGATAGCACTTGTATCAGGCAATACTAACCTATGGCAGAGTTAATTAGTTTACTCTGGCCTAATAGTGCCATGTGTAAACTAGTTAAAAAGTTAGAAAGTTAAAATTAGAAACATTTACAAGGAAAAAGTTGAGTCCACTTTCTATTCAAGTGAAGGGTGATAGATTGGAAGGTCTTTTTAGAAAGGCACTGTGGGAAAAGAAAAAAGTGAGATTTGGGGAGGGTGGGGGGCAGCAATATCCACTAAATAGGCAAGCTGGCATGTATATGAAGAATTTTTCATCTATAAAGTTTGTATTATCTTGTACAGCTATACAGAGTCTGGTTTAAGAGGAGAAGAGCATCTGGATATTGCTGGGAATCATAAATAGCCAAGATCAGGAGGTTGTGTACCTCTTCTTTCTCTATGCAGTTTTATAGGCATGATGGCATCTTCCAGGATTTTCATATTTCAGATAAGTCCAGCTGGGTCAAGCCTTGAAGTTAAATCTATGTAGCTGGAATAGAAACCTGGAGAAATTAAACTATAAGTCATCGTGCTAATGAAAACCAAAGAGATAGCTGTCCAGTGTGATTAAGTGCTTTCCTCTTTGAGATCAAAATAAAAAATCTGATGTGTGATGGAAGATTATTCATTTCAGATAAATTTCATTCTGAAGAAGATGTCATTCAATCCTTTCCTCTTTTCATAGTCTATCTGGAAGTGAAAACACTCTTTATAAAATTCATGCAAGACATGTAATGGGGAGCAAAGCTAAAAGGTACTTTTTACTTCCAAGGTTGTTGGTTGTCGTTGTGTTGGCCTAAGGACATAGGCAGGCAAGGTTCTTTGGGTAGATGTCTTTTATTAGACCAGTGAAATAGTTAGAAAGGTGTTCTTTGCCTTTTTACTTCCAAGGTTTTTTTTTACTGTTACACTGCTCAGATGCTGAAAGTTAATTTTTGGCTATTGTTTGTCGGTGGGCAGGGAGAACTGCTAGACCCAAATGACATTAGAAAGCGATAGGACCAGGATTTATCAATAGCAAGTAAATTTTTTTTTTTTTTTAATTTTTATTTCTTTAATCCTGTTTAAGAGAGGGGAAAATATAGATCTTGTGTTTTGTTTGGGACTTTAAAAAAAAGTTAATCAAACTGCTGTTAACATGGGCATGTCTATCTTGCTTTTCTTGTGCCCTCAGGAGAGTGCCATAATCAAGCACATCCCATCTACCCACTTGAGATCTGTCTTCAGCAGCAGGGACTGCCAGCAATGCGGTTTCACTGACTTGTTTCTGGGTTTGGCACATGTAGAGCAGAAGTGGGTGGGCCAGTTGTGTCCATGAAAGGGGCTCTCAAGTGTGCTGCAGAAGCTGGGTAGATATATCCCAGGTTTCCTAATTTTTCTTTTCTTTTTAAGCCATACTACTTTTAATTTCAGTGAAACCATGGAGTGTTTTTGATTATGCTTTGGACACTCTCTGGTAGTGCTGTGAACCTAAACAACAGCACATATATTTTATTTTTACATGAAGCACTGTATTGTTTTGATTATAAGTTGACTTATTTTCCTCCAGAAGAACCATGCAAATCACTTGGATTATACACAGGGTTGACTTATAATTAGGCCCCCACCAATCTGGACTTTGTACTGGCAGTAGTTTTGTGCAGACAGTAATAATGCCAAGTCAGGAATCCTTTCAGTGAAGTTTTTACTTAAGTATTTTCAGCATATTTAACCTTTGGTCTCTTCTTTGGTTACTTAATTCTCCTGTGGGATTTTGTAAGAGCAATAGCAGTTTAAGGACTTTTATGTGTAGTTATCTACTTTTACACAGAAAAAAACCTCTGTTTTTCCTAAAATTGAACATGAAAATATAGGGTCAGCTTACACAGAGAGTGGCTTATTTTTGGATCAGTAAGGGTAGAGGAGACGTATAAAACTGACTGAGATTTTCTAGCTAAGCAAAATGCCTTTTTGAGGGAATTTGATTTATGGTTTCTTAGGAAATTCTTTTTGGGTATCACAGACACAAGCTCACTCCCTAGCCATGGTACAGTAATGCAAAGCATATTTCCAGTGCCCTACATCTCTACTACATTTTAGTCTTTGATTCCTTTAAAATTAAGTTTCCTGAACATCCACCACCTGTTCACCAGGCTTGTTACCAGTTAATGACATGGCTGGTCCCTAATGGTTTATATCCACATGTGTGTTTAATAATATCTGTAGCATCTGGAATGGTGGTTTCTACCTCATCCACAGTCTAAGTTGCATATGGCATATTTTGCTGTACAACTAGCTTGCCCATATTCTTGCTTGTGTAATTGGTTCATCTGGTTATGTCTCCTGTGCAGTGGTATGTCACTCAGTACATAGTCTTAGATGCCCCTGATGCTTATTTATATGAATGTTCATTAGGTCCCTTATACTCAAATTGCGTCAGCAGGAGTTAGCAGTGATGATATTACCAGACAATACAGTGCAAATACAGTGATAGGTATAGATGCACCAACACAAATGAGAATGTGATTTCACAGAGAAAAAGTTGAGTAGGGAAAACTTGCTGTGGGCATTTTATTGTTTTTTCTCCCCTACCCATTTTTACAAATATCTTCAGGAAACACTATTGCGGATGAGCTCCTGCATACATCCACCAATAGTAATTATAAACTTAATACAGTCATTTGCATATCAAATCATTAAATGCTGTGCTCTGGGTTATTGGTACAGTGGGAGTTTCTGTAAAACAAACAAAGGACTAAAAGAAACGTGCATTTGTCATCAAAAGATCCATCTGGAATTTAATCTTCAGCTGCAGTTGTAAGATTTGTACATACTAGCACTACATCAAAAAGTAAGTTTCTTTTAAAAAGGAGAAAGGATAAAATAACCTTTGTTCTGTTTTGCTGCAGGGTATCTCAATGTGCTGTCAAATAATCGCTGGCGTGAGCGCTGGTGCAGAGTGAAAGATAATAAGCTCATTTTCCACAAGGACAGGACAGATCTGAAGACCCATATTGTTTCTATCCCCCTACGTGGCTGTGAAGTCATTCCAGGATTGGATTCCAAGCATCCCTTAACGTTCCGTCTGCTTCGAAATGGGCAGGAAGTTGCAGTATTAGAGGTACAGTATTAACGAGCGTACATTGCAGGTTTGCACACAGGCTAATTACAAGAATTCTCCTGCAGGCTATCTTTCAGAATACTCTGCAGATTTAAATAATGTAATTTTTGAGCTTGGTAGTCCATCAGAGGAAAAAACAAATTAAGTGTTACAGGCAAAAGGGTTGAAAACTGAGACAGAGGACCCTAATACTTTCTTTAAGTACAAAACTTGTCCCTGTTAAGATGCTTTCTTCAGTCTATTTCTATTCTGACCTTTTCACTTCCCCTTATAAAGCCTATGATCCTCCTCTGTTTTTAGCTTTATGACTAGGACCTAACTTAAAATACAAGCTGTTGAACAGAACAGTTGGAAATGCTTCATTTGGAATCTCTAAATTAATAATGATGAATGCCAGAAAGGGTAATGAACAGGAGATAGATCATGCTAGATATACCTGTTCAGTGTTGTCCCTTTAAAGCATCCATTCTTGCCTCTGTTGGAAATGGGATAGTGGGGTTAGATGGACGATTGGTCTGACCCAGTATGGCACTTATGTTCTTAAAATTAAAGAGCACTGCTGCAGCTTGCTGAAGATTAGACCTCTCTGATATTATTTATATATCTGCTGGGTATTATGTTAATCAACTCTAAGAGGATTTATTCTGAATTTAGGGTACACTACTGTAGGTATATGAGAGAATTGGTATTTTAGCCATAGTTTGCATCCCTAATGCCATGCTCATGTATATGATGAAACACTCTGTGCATCAAACCACCATCGTTTGCAATGGACTTCCTTTGAATAGTGCCACAGATCCTGTGGTCTTTACACTGCTGATCTCTGCCAATGAAATATGGATGGAAAATGCTGGAATAGGGCCCAAAAAAGTGGAGTCCTACTACTGTCATCCCAGCATTCTCTTTGATCAGGTTTTTACATTCAAGCTGCACAAAGGGTAAATGTACCAGGAAAAAAAAATATCTTCAAAAGTAGTACTATATGTACCATAAAGCTTTTATGTGTGTACTGTATTTGGGCATCCATTTCTTCCCGAGCTCTCTGTACCAATCATCTAAGTATGCTTCCATGCACATTTTACTATATGCCAACAGTGAGATATGTGGTTCTGCTGCCCATCTAAGTCAGTTAGGTGTTTAAACTTGGTCTGACAAGCACAGTTAGCAAGGGGAGGAGTAGGATGCCAGGCTTAGTTTGGTCTGTGTAGAGCACAGGGCTCAGGAGCTGGGTTGAGGAAAGCTTACGAATCTCAAAGAATTTCAAATTCAGAGAAATTCAGCTGAGCCTGTTTGTGAGAATGTTGTCTCACTTAACTCAGGGAACAGCTGTAGGCTGGAAAACTATTAGAAAGCTTTTGTTTACTGCTAGTTATGATATTTAACCTTTTGGCAACAAATTCAAGTCCAGAATCTGGCAGGAAAAAAATCAAGATAAAACAAAAAAAGAAATTTCAGATAAGCTAAAATCATTTGTTTTCTGTTCTTGTTTAAAAAAAATCTGAACTATGAAAAATAGCTTGAGGGAAGGTCTTTTGATTCTTATTTGTGTTATTGACAGTTAAGAAAATT